TTTGGACGATGGACACGTATTAAATGTTATGGTCATTGTGGTGTTGGCGACCTTGTTAACAATTTAACATGCAATGGTTTCCACCTACACCTACAGTTTCAACTCATTGATGAGGTTTTTCTACGAAATCTTCATCTTTATGTTGGGTGATTGAATATCCAAATCACATTCAAATGATTTATGGTAGTTTCTTCGTCCAAATCATATTCAAATACTGTTTAACAGTCATTTTATGCATATTCATGTTAGGACGAGAAGTCTATCATGTATATGTTCCGAATTTTTCGTTCCCCATCCGTTTTGTTTTATATAGTTTTACCCTTAATTATTTTTTTGAAAATATTTAATCTAAATCAACGGATAAAGTACGAGATTTAAAAAACCCAGAAGAGGATTCGAACTCCCAACCTTTACCATAAAGGCCCAGCCTGAATGCCAATTATGCTATAACAATTTTCTTTATGAACTTTAACAGATATATCTATATATAATGAATGAATATGTAACAAACTAATATGTTCAATTTTACTCCACGCCTATCATGCATCCAATTCATCTTCTCCAATCTAAATTCCCAAGAACGCGACAAGGTAACGCAATATATAATTGATTGTAAAATTAAAAACGAATTAATATTATAGCAAAGGAACTAATTCAATTCAACAAACCCTCAAAAAGAAGAAGAAGTAAAGAAACATCATCGTGTTCTTCCATGGCGACTCAATTAATACCCCAAAATCAAACCCAGAATTTACCCACAAAGATATATCAAAAAAGTTTTTGAGAAAGCCCAGAAAATAGGGATTGAAGTGGAATTGATTAAGGAGTTGATGATGGTTTGAGACAAAATTAGTGAAGGAATCTGAGAAACAAATTAGGTATATTTCAGAAATCTAATTCGAAAGTATGAAATAGATTGTTTTCAAATTTAAAATTATCATTCATTGGAGAGACAATCTTCTATATGAAGAAACGATGCTGAAATTGAATGTAGTAGCTACCGTAAGTGGAAGACAAAAGCGGAAGACAAAAGACAAATCGACTTTTTCGTTTATATAATATACATATTTATATATGTTAACATGTACAACGAAAATTCTTATAGCATGATTGGCATTGAGTTTCATCATTGATTGTCAAGGTCGGGAGTTCGAATCCTCCTCTGTGGATTTTTTTTGTAAATTTAAATGAACCAGCGCCTACATGGCATCCTAGTCAGCATCAGTTAACGGAATACTAACACCGTTTGTCGATTTGTTGGTTTTGACCAGATTTGGAATGTTCGTGTAGAAAATTCAAAATTTAGTTAAGTTCACGTAGTTGTAAGCACGACTCAAAGTTATGTGTATAAATCCGATAAAATAACTAAGTTTAGGGGGGAATTGGCCGTTTTCCCGTTCTTTCTACATCCCTTAATTTTCTCAGTGTTCTAAAATACGCTAGGTGGTAGTCGGGCGGTGGATCACCGTATAGCGCCTAACTGTATATGCGGCTGTATATGCGGGGTATATACGGTGAATATATTTTTATAAAAATATATATATATATAAAAATATATATAATATCATAAAAAATAATTATCAAAAAAAATTAAAGGAGTCTCACGTTAAACTCCAACTCGCAAAAAAATGAAAACATAATGACAACCGTATTTAGATAAGCAGCACCGTATAAGTGGCCGTATTGAGCCGTATAACGCCGTATAATGATCGTATTGAGCCGTATAACGCCGTATAATGGCCGTATAGGGCCGTATAAGTGGCCGTATTGAACCCAACCGTATTTGTTAAACGCATAGCTTAAAAACAGTACAGTAATCTGCCATATAGCGTATAACTACCGTATATACGGCCGCCTAGGGCGTATTTTAGAACACTGTTTTTTCTACAATCATAAACTTGTACTAATCATGCTATATCTTTATTTTTAAAGTTACAGTCCAAACAAAAAAAATATTTGCTGTAGAAGATAAAAATACGAAAACCTTATTTTTCGGATGTAATATTTTTATATTAAAAATATTCACGCAATATTATTTTAAAAAGTCATGGTAAAATTAAAAAAATAAAAGAAAAATAAGATATAAGTTTTAAAAATCAGAAAAATATCGACGGTCACAGAAAAATAAAACAATAATGATATGAAATGAACTAATTTTTTTAACTTAAATATTTAACACAAATCTTATATCTATAAATCTTTTTTTTCATTATAAAATATCTATAACCAAATATTTACAGCAACAAAATTTATAGATACATCTAAGAGAACTACGAAAAAAAAATCAGATATTTACAGCAAACAAAACTATAGTAAAAATTCCAAAAAATAGTAATATACATGTACATCATAACCAATCATCCACATAATTTATATATTTTTCGGATGAAGATTAATTCATTTAAATATTTTCTTTCCACAATACATTAAAAAAAAATCAAAAGTATCTGAATTTTTTAAATTATCCGTTCTGAATTGGATCCTTATTTTAGTGAGAGGTTAGATATAAATTTAGCTATCAAAATTTTCTGAATCTATCCCGTTACTCATAGACAGACACGTTTTTCAAAGTTATTAATCAATTATTCAAAAAATTCTGAATTGGTTACTGTCGTCTATATTATTCAAAAGAAAAGATTCCATCTGTAATAAATAAAGCATGATCATATTATTTATATTCATGGATTCTTGATAAACGAGTTCTGTGTTTCATTAGTTTTTTTTATTCTTTCACGTTGAGGAGCAACAATGAACGTTGACTACCAAAACTGTTTCATCTTAATCCTCCTCTGCTTTCTTTCGTTCCTCTGTTACTCTTTCTTCTTCAAGAAACCAAAGAATGGCTTCAATTTGCCTCCGAGTCCTCCTTCTCTACCGATCATTGGCCATCTTCACCTTCTCCTCTCTCTTCTAATGCACAGATCTTTAGGGAAACTCTCCTCCAAGTATGGACCGCTGCTTTATCTTCGCGTCTTCAATGTCCCCATATTGCTTGTTTCTTCTTCCTCAATAGCCTATGAGATCTTTAAGTCACAAGACGTAAACGTTTCCTCTCGCAACTTCCCTACGAAAGAGGGGTTTCTCATCTTCAGTTCCCTCGGCATCATCACCGCACCTTATGGAGATTACTGGAAGTTCATAAAGAAGCTCATGGTCACCAAGATCCTTAGACCTCAAGCACTCAAGAGGTCACAGGGCGTCCGTGCAAAAGAGGTAGAGCGGTTTTACTCAAACCTACTAGATAAGGCGTTGAAGAAGGAGACCGTTGAGATTGCAGAGGAAGCTATGAAGCTAGTCAACAACAGCCTCTGCAAGATGATTATGGGGAGGAGTTGTTCAGAGGAGGACGGTGAAGCAGAGAGGGTCAGAGGCTTGGTGATCAAGTCAGATGCCTTGACGAAGAAGCTTTTCTTGGCTACCATCTTGCACAAACCGCTTAAGAAGCTCGGGATCTCTCTGTTCGAAAAGGAGTTAACGGATGTTTCCCGACAGTTTGACGAGGTGTTGGAAAGGATTCTTGTGGAATACGAAGAGAAAGCAGAGGAACATCATCAAGGTACTGACATGATGGATGTCTTGTTGGAAGCTTGTAGAGCCGAAAACGCAGAGTATAAGGTCACTAGAAATCGTATCAAGGCCTTGTTTGTGGTAAATACTCCACTCTTTTGGGAGCCCAAGCGAACACCATTCGTTTTTTCTTGACTAAGAAACGTATGCTATTGCAGGATCTTTTCATTGCAGGTACTGACACTTCGACACACACTATAGAGTGGATCATGGCCGAGATCATGAACAACTCTTACATTCTTGAAAGCTTGAGAGAAGAAATCGATTCTGTTGTAGGTAATACAAGGTTGGTTCAAGAAACGGATCTACCAAACCTCCCTTACTTGCAAGCGACCGTCAAAGAAGGGCTAAGATTGCATCCTTCCTCTCCTATTGTGATAAGGACGTTTGAAGAAGGGTGTAAGATAGGAGGCTTTTATATACCGGAGAAGACAAGACTTGTTATTAATGGTTATGCTATAATGAGAGATCCTAATAACTGGGAAGATCCTCTGGAGTTTAAACCCGAGAGGTTTCTTGATTCTTCAAGATCAAGCCAAAAGGACGCGATAAAAGAAGAAGTCCTAAGATACATTGCTTTCGGGAGTGGAAGGAGAGGCTGTCCTGGAGCAAATCTAGCTTATGTCTCTGTAGAAACTGCTATTGGAGTGATGGTGCAATGCTTTGATTGGAAGATCAAAGGAGATAAGATCAACTTGAATGAGGCTGCTGGAAAAATAACTATTACCATGGCCCATCCTCTTAAGTGCAGTCTTGTTCCTCGAACCCAAATCTCTTTAAGTTCAAAGTAGGCAGATTCCTACTTCTTGATTTTCAGTTGTTTTTCTTAATCTCATTGTTACACATCTTTTTCAGTTTATTGGTTACCTTTGGTTTTAGTTCAATGTGGCCTTATGTCCCCTATATAATATGGAAACTTAACTATGTTGTATGGTCCGTAGTTTTATTTTTCGAGTATAAGAAAAAATGCGTAACAATGAGATATTGTGTAAAATTTAGTGGTTTGTAATAGTTTCTTCGCCATAAACTATTTAACAATTTGATATACTGAAATTTATCCACCCAAATCTAGAGATTAATAACTAGATTAACACCCTAATTTTGTAGTTTACTAGACTAACACAAATTTTGTGTAAAATGACCAAAAACCCATTTTAATTCTATTAGTTTTTTAAAAAACCAAAAAAAAATCAGAAAAACAAAAAATATGATAAGTTAGATTGTCTCGTCATTTATTAGTTTTCAGTTATGCAAATTAAAAACAAAAAGTCTGTCGTCCTTAAAAAAGTCTGTCGTGTTTAAAATATGTGTCATGAAAAGTCTGTCATCAAATAAGAATAAAAATATGTCTGAATAGAAATAAAAATTTAAATATGTCATTGCTTCAAACATATCTGTTATCGTTATATAAAATCATTCCAACAATTTCTGTTTTTCATCACTAAGGGTGTGATTGGTTGGGCTGTAAGTGCTATTTACAGCCATAAATTTTTTGTAAAGACCAAATTGTTGCCAATCAAGCTGTAGGTTTATTTTCTAAAGTTACAGCCCAAAAAAATAAAATCTTTTTATTTTGACTGTAGATATTAAATTTTCTACAGCTTAATATTTTTTGCTTTTAAGTGTGTAGGTTTTTTTATTTCTCTTCTAATTTTTTCTTTTCTCATGTAAATGGATATATACTAATACTATAAATATCATGTATAGTCTCGTTTGTTATATATACTTTATATATATATATATATATTGAACGAAAAAACTTATATGTGTATATTCTTTTCAATTAATCTGTAGTTATTATATGAATACCATATAAAATATTTTATACATTTATATAAATGATTTATATGTTTATATAGATTCCATTTAACCTATATGCATAAATTTGTGTTGTTGTTTATTATATAATTGCTATTAAATAATTTTATTAACTATAATATAATTTAAGAAAATGTAATTTATAAATACAAATTCAAATATTTACTAATCATAATTTTTAATTACAACTAATAATTTACTGTCAAAATTCGATATTCCTAAAATCTACAGTTACAGCCAAAAAGCTACAGCCAAAAATCTACAGCTACAGCTTACACATTTACAGCCAAAATTCTACAGCAAATAATATACAGCTAAAGTCTAACCAATCACCCAATAAGACTGCTAACATATGACAGTTTTTTTTTTAACTTATCTCAAATCTGTCATAATGTAAATAAAATTTGTCATCACATAAAATATTTCATTTGCGATTGTATGTCAGTCTAGCAATTTTTACTTTTGTATGAAAAATCTGCTATCACTCAACAGTTTTTTGTTTAAAAAATAAAAACTGTCATAACATAAAATAAATCTGTTATCACTACTAAGTCAGACTAGTAATTATTTTTTAAAAAAATAATATGTCACTTGATTGCAAATATTTTTATAAAAATAAAAGTCTGAGGCCACTAAAAACATAAATCTGCTATAGATTTTAATAAATCTGTCAAAGTGACTAAAGTCTGTGGTGTCATAAAAAAATAAGTCTGTCGTGTGGAGAAAATCTACAACAAATTAAATATATGTCGTAACCTGTTAAAATAAGTTTGTCGGAAAAAAAAATCTCTCACGAAAAATCTGTCGTAGACAAATAAGTCTGTCAAGGAAAATAAACATGTCACAACAAATCCAACAGACTTAAAAAAAATATATATTTCCCAAGTTTTTTCCCCCACGTTTTTTAAATAAAAATAATAGTAATTTTGACTTTTTTTTTCCTAACAAAGAGAGAAAAGATATTATCATCATGAAAATAACCCATATAATCCCCAAATTTTTTGAGTCATTCTAATAATTAAACTCATTACTTGAGTTAATCTAGTAACTTTCCCTTTGATATATTTACAAGATCGGTTACTTTGTCTTTACTTAAATTCTTCATTTACCTCTCAAACCTAAATTTTTCCCTACAAACACGATAGTAGCTTCTTCTTTTCTTTTTTTTTTTTCTTTTTTTTTTTTACATAATTTTTGTTAACAATTTATTTCCAAATTTCTAATTTTTCTTATAGTTGTGGTCATATAATTCATGTCTCTACACGCTAAATAAATAAGGAAAGAAAAGTTATATATTATTAGTTATATTTATTATAATTGTTTTGAATTGATTTGGATTAGTTTGAAAGATGAATTTTTTTTTTGGATAAATTTCTTGTTTTCTTAATTGCTAAAATATTTAAAACGAATTTCTTAGGGTTCTTTATTTAATTTCATTTTAAGAGATAATATTTTATCATGAGATTTTTATGAAAACAAAATTCATTAAATTAAATTTAGAAATTAGCTACAAACAAAACAAGTATAAGGAGTCTTGTAGCTAATTAATAAGTTTTGTAGATAATTATAAGAATGTTATTAAGATATATACAAAATCTTAATATTGTTTTTATATATCTTATTTTTTTTATAATTAGCTACAAACAAAACAAGTAGTATACGATATTGATAGAATATATCTCCCTATATATTGATGGTTTTACCCTCTCCACATATCCATTCGACATTGAAACATCTCACCATCGTCGAGTTCAATTGAATAAGATTTTTTCGGATCTGGTAATTTTTTTTATATGTGCTCTGTTAGTGTAGACATCTCACCGTCGTTGGGTTCAATTTCTCCTTCCTATATTCTATCAGATATAACCAATATATATATATATATATATATACACCAATCTCTCTTCATAATTTACCATCATTAATCTGTCTTCGTCATTTACAATCATAGAACTAACAACAAAAAAAAAAAACGCTTTGATCTCAGCTCAACCTTAATCCTTGAGAACCATAAAGATGACGACGGAGTACTACAAAGAAGACGAAGGGATTCAGTTTGATCCAACGTACCAAGAAGTCATCGAGGATTATCTTAAACGGAAGCTAAGTGGTGAAGATTGTGGAGACTTCATATTGATGAAGGATGTTTATGCCAAGGAGCCATGGCTGCTGGACCATCCCAACAATTCTTTTTTCAAGGAAGACGAATGGTACTATTTCTCAAGAAGGACTCAGATCTCCGAGAAGAAGATTGGTCGTGGTAAGTACCCAAAGCGGAAGATCACCGGAGACAACAACGACGACATCGACCGCGAGAACTGGAGGATAAATGGGAAAGAAAATATCATCGACGAGGATACAGGGGCTATCATTGGGATCAAGAAAAACTTAACTTATAAGGGCACCAAGACGAACAAGAAGCAGAAGAGAGGAGACGGTGCTTCTGCTCCAGGCAGCGAAAGCGGCTGGATTATGGACGAGTTTGTATTTGTGTTACCGAAACCGGACGAAGATAAGTTTCAGGAGCTAGTCCTCTGCAAGATTCACAAGAAAAAGAAGTCCAAGAAGGACAAGAAGGATCATCAGCATGAAGCTTCTTCTTCCTCAGAGCAGAAGCCGATCAAGAAAAGGAAGTCCAAGAAGTCCAAGAAGGAGCATGAGTCTGTTCTAGCTGCGTCTTCCGAGCAGCAGCAACCATTATTATGTGGTGGTAATAAATCAGAGATTCCGAAGATAGCATCATCTCCTTGTTCTGCTGCGGAAACAGAGAGAAACGGGGAGCAGAGTGGAGAAGGAAACATGGTTCACCAAACAGACGTACTCGCAACAGAGAAGAATGCCATGGAGATGACACGGGAAGAACAAGGAGATTGGATTGCCGATATGTATGATATATTTGTAAAGGGATTAGAAGCTTGTGACATGATGATCAATAACGCGGATCAACCACCAATATCCATTCCTCCAGTAGAATACCCTTGGATTTGAGAATCAGTATGAAGCTCTCTACTTCAGGAAAACCGTTCAACGTTCTTGAAGAAAAAGATACCGTAGTTAAATTTTCTTTATTTATAGGTGTGTCGTGAGATGATGACTCTGCTTGTTTAGATATGGTATAGCTTAAGGTTCTTATTTGAATAGCTCTTGGAGAATTTTTGTGTTTTGATTATCCGATTGAATATAACATTTTTTCAGCAAATAAAAGTATACATTCTTTCTAAGAACAATAGAGAAATAATTAAGGCATTAAGCGTTCAAGCAAATCTGTTAAGTACTGTTTGAAGAAAAGAACAGTGTTTTGTCATTGTCTTAATTCGTCAAAGTTAGCATTAACGAATGCTTGGGAAGGAAGTAACTTTTTTTTTTCTCCATAAGTTGGCTTGAGAATCTTGGTGATCCGAATTAGGCTGGCACGCTCCGAATAATGGTGCCAAAGATAGTGATTTGTTGGGAATCATATCTAAGATGAATATAATATCTTCTGTCTTATCTCTTTGTATATATGTTCTATATTTTGCTTCAGGTGTCTCCTTATTATTCCTCATCACATTCTTCTGTTTTCTTACGTGATTTCTTTATTGCTCAAAGACTTTAATTTGTATGGCTTCTTGTTCTCGCAAATTCAATCATCAGAAATAATAGCTCATCGTTAGATGCTTACACGCACAAGAACTACTATCAATGATATTTAAAATTCTAGTGAGAAAGATGTAAATTTAATGTTACGCTTTAATTTAGAAACTTCCATGGAATAAATCATACATTATTGATAATTGATCGTGCATTAACATGTAAAAGTGACAAGTACATGATACGATATTTGGGTCATCAAGTTATTGAAAGTAGAGAGGAAGCAAATTAAGTACACGCATATAATATTTATTGTATGAGAATAGTTATGAAGAAGGAGGAGAGAGTTAGTGATGAGTTTCATTTCAAAAGCTTATATAATAAGTCGAATAATTCACACATGAAGAACCTTTTTTTTGGTCATGTGACTATCTTAGACTGTGTAAGATTAATCAGTACCTTCTTTGGTCTGAGGATCTGAAGGAAGGCTTCAAAACACACATGAAGAACAAGAAAATTCTGATCCAAGGAACAAACAAAACAATCTCACACTTTAAGTTTAGCTACTAATGACACTTGACATATGTGGCTTTAACACTCAGCTTCCACGTAAAAGCTTCACAAAATTATAACCAAAGTTCCAGGACAAAGTGATTTACCCGAAATTTAAGATATTTCTTGGCTAAGATCTTTGAAATTAGTGAGAAATATGTTGATCACTTCATTGATTCTTTCTTCTATGAAATTCTCTGCATCGCTGAGGATTCCTATTGCCCATTCGATTACTAAAGTTTACATGTGTTGACATTAATGAATTGTAATGTAAAAGAGTTTATGCATCATCTTAAACATTCTTGGCATAAACTTTGTTACCTTTAGGCTTTAGTTCACCCATGGAGGATGAAAGAAAATTAAAAAGGGGAAAGTAAAACATTTGTTTGATGTACACATACAGTATTATACTGTCAGTATACATATGTTTGATGTGATACTATAAAGTTGATGTAAATCGATAAAGGTGAATCTAAAAGAAAGTTAACCAAAAAAAATAGAGAACATTTAAATATTTCATAATCAAAATATGCATATCTTACTATACATATAAATTTCGATGTATCTATACTAGTATTTTTGAAGTACATTTTTAGCGGGTGGGGCAAAATGCATTTGGATATAATGGATATCCGATCCGTTTACAAATTTTGGTCATAAAAAATTTGCTGGATCGGATTATATTTAACCCAACACATACACCAGATATTCCATATTTAATAATTTAGATATTTAAAAGATTTGATTAAGATTTAAAATTATGATTCTCCTATCATCTTTGTTTAATTTGTTTTTAACTATTTTGAATCATCATATAATAAAAAAGTAAAAAAAAAAATCAATTTTTTTTCCTGAATATATTATGATTCGAAATTTTAAAAACGGACATATATTATCCAATTGACGAAAAATATGTGTTCAACGTTCCACATCGACTAAAATATTTAGACAATGATTCAGAATCATATCATAAATAAGATCAACATTAATAAAATAAAAGGGTTTTTTCTTTGCGGGAAAAGTTTTTGAATCAACAATAATAAAATAATTAAAATATCATTAATCCGCCGCTTCAATACGGATTAAATCCTTAATTTATTTTAATACCACCAGTATTAGACATATCAAATCAGTCTCATTTACAAAAGATTGTATAAAACTAAAAATTGTCATGTGGTATAATGTTACTTAATAACAATTGTAAACTATAAAATATAAATGTCTTAGAAAACGATACAATTTGCAAACTTTTATATATAATAAATAATCGTTAAATTTTTAAAATTACTACTTTTAGAAAACAAATCACGGGACGGGTTAAGAAATTACAGGATGAGTTATATTTCAGAACGGGGTTATAATAAGTCGAATAATTCACACATGAAGAACCATTCTTTGGTCATGTGACTATCTTAGACTGTAAGATTAATCAGTACCTTCTTTGGTCTGAGGATCTGAAGGAAGGCTTCAAAACACACATGAAGAACAAGAAAATTCTGATCCAAGGAACAAACAAAACAATCTCACACTTTAAGTTTAGCTACTAATGACACTTGACATATGTGGCTTTAACACTCAGCTTCCACGTAAAAGCTTCACAAAACTATAACCAAAGTTCCAGGACAAAGTGATTATATGGTACAAAGTGTTGGCTGGTCGAACCAGCAACCATAAGGTGGCTTGGGATGTTGGGACCGGCAACGGTCAGGCTGCTATTGGGGTTTGTTTTCTTCTAAAAAAAATAGTTTTTAGACGACTTAGAAAATTAGAATCGACTTAGAAAAATGTCTGACTTTTCAATTTTCATACAGTTTTATAAATACCTAACATATTGATTTTTAATATATCACTTTTAAAACTGAAATGTTTCTAAACTTTTATATGTAAAAAATATTTTTGGCTAAAATTTAAATTATATTATTACGTATAACATATTTCATAGTTTTTTACTTAATATATCAATTTTAAAACGGAAATGTTTCTAAAATTTTATATATGATCATTTTAAACACTTTTTCGCTAAAGTTCAAATTATATTATTATGTATAACATATTTCATAGTTTTCTACTTATAATATTAATTCATTTGTCTATAACTTAAAATTTTTAATCATAAATAACAATAAACATAAATAAGTATGTATTGAACTAAAATTTTAAATTAGACGCTTAGGTGAACGCTGATGTGGATGATGATGTGGATAGCTTAGATGGAGAGAAAACTCTCCCATTATATATATATAGACTAGGTTAAAACTTTCCTTTTTATTGCTACGCGGGGGTTTAATTTTATTGATTGTTTTAAGATATTTTGGTCTTAATAATCAATTAATTACAATAATGTTTCATTTTAAATTCTTTTTAGCATAAACGTTGTTTAATTTATATTTTTAGAATAATTTATTTTGGTTAAATTTGTTTTAATAAAAGAAAAGCTTATAGGATAAAAATTGGTATAGAACGTATTACAAATATTATGTATCATATTTTACTCAAGTATATAAAAAAGACTTCAAAATTTTAGTAACTAAAATGATCTAATATCCGAACATCAAACATGAAACATTAAAAATTACTAATCAACATTTAAATGAAAAGAAACAAATGAATAAACTTACACATGTTACATGTATATATTGTATAACTTTTTTTTTTTTCACATACCTCTTGATTGATTATTCTATTCAAATTTTTATTTATTTCTCCTAATTATAAAATTTCTATTTTTCTTGCTTTAATTTATTGCCATTCTTTCAATTTTATAAATAATTTATTTTTAATAACAAACCGAATCAAGCCAAACCAAATTAATACAAACCGAATTAAAATGAACCAAAATGAGTTTGATTAGAGACTTGATGTTTTATTAAATAGAAATGACCGAATCAAATTTAACTCGACATCAAAATAAAATGTCGAACCCTAATTTTGATTAAGAAGGGATATTGGCAAATTTGCTGAGACTAATAATGATATTGTTTTAAATATTCTAATATCAAAGTTTTTTACATTTTTCTTTTTTGCATATGTTTTTATTTTAAGTTTATATTTTTCTCGTTTCCATAAATATTGTTTTTTTTTTTTAAACTTTTTTTATAAGTATCTTAATTTTCTATTGATATTATTTTATATATTCTAATAACAAAATTTTACATTTTTTTGTTTTCCCATATGTTTTTTTTTAAGTTTACATTTTTCTTGTTTCCATATATATATATATATGTTGTTTTTTCCTTTTTATAAGTATCTTAATATTGAAAATTATTGGAATCTAAAATTGCTAATTATCGAGATGGCTAATCGTGATTAATCTTATAAAATTTTGTGGACAGTTTCAGAAGCTTATAGCTTCGACTTTTATGTAGTATAGAAGCTTGTGTTTTTGACTTAAGCTATGAAATTTTTATAGCTTTTAGAACTTTAAATTTATAAAATTATGGTCTCCAATAACTCCAAATTTATGAAGATTTTAGATTACTATTTACAAATACATAAACAAATAACATTAAACTTTGATAGAGTTTTGAAAAATCTTAATTGAATAACAATAAAATCTTCATACTATTTAAATCTACTTTAGTATAATACTGACAATTACAAAAAACAAAAAAAAAGTCACTTGCCATCTTTAGTATAATTGTAATCATAATCGGTTATATATTTCTTTTTCCCTTTTTTATTTGATTTCTTTGCTTTCCACATGCGAATCACTTTGCATGCATATATTTAACATAAAAAAATTAACAATATCCACACAAGGAAACAATTTGAAAGGTACATAAGTTTTAGGATATAAAATACCTTGTAATTGCTAAAGTCACAATTGAATGAACCTAGACTCGATTCATTAGTGTAACCTGAAATACAAATCAAAACTTTGCATGCATATATTTAACATAAAAAATAAACAATATCCACACAAGGAAACAATTTGAAAGCTACATAAATTTTAGGATCAATAATACCTTGAAATTGCTTTAAAAGTCACAATTGAATGAACCTAAACTCGATTCATTAGTGTAGCTTGAAATACAAATCAAACAGTCTAAAATCAGCTAAATTAAACAATATTTGT